CGCACATTCACATGGATGGCTCCAGGACGCCCTGTAATTGGAGAATACAGGAAAAAAGTCCCAGAGGAAATGACTTTAAAGTCCCCTCTTATCCTGTGATAACTGGTTAAAAATTTTATAGGAACAGAAGGATGCAAAATAATTAATGGGGGAGAATAAAAGGAACATTATTTCATTTTGGCTGGGTTATGAATAATGCAGACGTAAATATTTTTGCAGCTGCGGCTTTGTTTAGAATTGTATTTTTATAAAGGGAAAAAAAAAGAGGTTAAATGTTAGAAATTGTGAAATTCAATGCAATGAAAGGTTTATATTATTGTGTTTGGGAATGAATGAGCTTCCGTGATAAAAATATAAATGAACTGCTGTGTTGTTTCTTCATATCTGGTCCAAGGCCAGCCAAGCTACATCATGACTGTATAGCACATACCTTCCTGAAGTGTCTGGAGGGATGTGCAAAAGGGAAGTCGACGACAAGAACAGAAGAAACGGGATACATTGAGGGAAAGTTATTAATCAAGCTAGTCTTGTTTGTTAGTATTTTTACTGTTGAATTAGGAAAAAAATGAAGAAAAAAATTTCCTTTGCTGTGCATTGTACCAGAAATGTAATTTAAAGTGTTGCTAAACCCAGGACCCTGCATTCACTATATCTGGTCTCCCACAGTACACAGTACACAGAACATGGAAATGCAATTATTTTCATAAATATAAACTGCTAAATATCTTTTCTCAACAGTAGTATATAGCAGTCTTGTGATATCTACCAGTCTCCGTCCGAGCACTGGTTAAAGCTTGTAGGAGGAGTTTTCATTATCCTCTGACTGTCCTATGAGGCTGCATGACCCCTGACCCACTGTCTGAACAGTGCTGATTGGCCCTGTGCTGATCACATGCACCCCCCCCCCAAAAAAAAAAAAAAAACCTCTCTAGCAATACACAACAAACTGAGCATGTGCAGAGTGTCTCCTAGAGCTCTATACTATCAAGAGATGAATTGGAGACAGTAGAAGATGGGGAGGAAAAGAGAAGACAGGATCAAACAGCCTTTTTACACAGTGTGGAGGATTAACTCCTTAGGTTCCACAGTGAGTATAACAAGCATGCTTTCCTGCATATAAAGACTGATTATACTGCTGTGGGTTTAAAAACACTTTAAAACTGGACTCATGGATTTGTGGTGCTGCTGCTCCTTCATTGTCCAATAAGCAGGCTGAAGGAGAGGGGGTTGTTCTTGAACAAGATGTGTCATTGCAGTGGGGGGAATCAATGGTCTGGCTATGTTGTCTGGCAGGGGTGCCTGGATCATGTGACTAAAAGCTGGCCATACGTGGATTGGAATTCAGCTGGTTCAGCAGGGACTGAGCAAATTGTGTTCCAGTACGGGCAGGATGGTTATATAGAAATTGATCTACTTCTGTACAACCACACTGTCAGATTTTCCCCGCTCAATCAGCACCACGGGCTATAGCCAGCAGCACTGATCAGTGTATTCTGATGGGGGGGAAGTCTCCCCCAATTTCAGAATACAATGACTCAGAGGGAAGGATTCCCCCATCAAAATCAATTGTGTGGAGGGGGAAATTGAGTCTTTTCGTTTTTTGTTCAACCCGCTGGTTGGGCTGCTAAACTGCACAGTGTGTTGATGTGTGTTCAGTCACTAGCCTGGAGATCATAGAAGGATAAGTGATTATTGATGATGATTAGGATTTTGAAGGGTCAGTGGCCATCATGTTAAAGCACAGTTGTACAGGTTGCTGTATTTCCTGGCTAGAGGATGTCCAGCATCATCTAATACTTTCCTCCCCAGTCTCACTGTCCCTGGCCTACACTCATTCATTGAGTCACAGTTCTCCCAATCTTGGAGGTACAACTTTATATATATATATATATATATATATATATATGGGTGTTATTGAGGGTGGTCCGCATGTAAATCCAGCCTGCCTAGGAATGCCTACTCCTAAAGACCGACACCTACCCATGAAGGCATTCTGATATTTGCATAACTCCTCCCATGAACCAGTACTTGCATCAGTGCTAAGGCCTCTTGAGAGAAGTACTGTGAAGTTTTGAGGAATCTATGTACAACTCCCTGATGGTCCCTCCCACCAGCCATGATCTGCTTGCATTTAATTGAGAAGCACAGAGACCCAGTGAGGACACACTGGGGTTTATTTACTAAAGCTGGAGAGTCCAAAATCAGACTCCCTTCTGCATAGAAACCAATCAGCTTCCAGGTTTCATTGCCAAAGCTTCATTGAACAAGCTGAGGTTAGAAGCTGATTGGTTTCTATGCAGAAGGGAGTCTGATTTTGGACTCTCCAGCTTAAGTAAATAAACCCCACTGGGTCCAAAATTAGGTATGTAATGAAAATGGAAAGGTTTAAACATGTCACTAGCATGTTGAGACGGGGGAGGACCAGAGAAGGCAAATTGTAAGCAGATTAAACTTCTCTGTTAAAAAGGTTGTAAATCCTTAGATATACCCAATGAAGAGACTGGCCTCAGGTGATACACAGAGATGAAACAAATCCTCCAACATAAGTTGTACCTGTCTATCTGTAGTCTTCTCTTCTCTCCCATTTAAGATGCTGAATTTATATGATTTGTCTGGGAGTTCAGAAAAGAAGGGGAGGAGAGCTGAAATTATACTCTGCAGTGCTCAGGGAGGAGAGCTAAGAGCTGATTGGAGGGGAGGGACACACCCCTCTTCACACAGCTCACAGGAACAGAGCTGAGGCTGTCAATCTGCTGCAGGTCCCTCTCCTGTCACCATTTTTCTCTTGGTGTCAGGAAAACTTGATAAGAAGTGACTCATGCTGATAGCAGAGGAAAGAAGCAGCAGACATAAATGACACTAAGTGCTCTGTATTGAGACAAGTACACAGTATAGAGCATGGAACCTTAAGGTTCTTCCGAAGGTTGCTAGGAATTCCTTAAGCAATGAGCAATTTCTGCCTCTCTGATTTTTTTAGCTATCTGTAAGAGGGTAATTTTTCCCAATGGCTTCCAGTTTAAGGAACATTCTTCCCACTGACCATCACACTAATGTATCATGAGTTAAAGATTTAGTCATTTTTAGCTGGGGTTCCCTGAGACTGGAGAGTTATTTCAGGGGGTCCTCAGTATAGAAAAGGCTGAGGAAGGCTGGTATAGAGGAATATGCTTTGTTCATAGTTCATGTCTGACGTTTACAACCACATTAAGGGACGGTAAAAATAGATGCTGAGCCAAGGTTTTATTGCCTCTGACTGTCCAGCTGGCCATGTTAGTACACAGAGGCAGGGCTGCTGATAAGGGGGTACAGCTGGGCCTCTTGTATGGGGCCCAGGCTCCGTCAGTTCAACAGGGGGTCTGGGCAGTTGACAAGCAAGAATCCTGGAAGGGAGGGTGATTGGTTCGGCAAGAGCACAATTACTAGAACTGATCCCTCTGTGTGACTCTCTCTTCTCATCTTCCTTCCACCGGATTTCAGCTGCTGCAAGGAAACCCACACAGGGGTATTAGTTCCAGTATTTGTACTCTCACCAAACCAATCGCCCTGTCTGTCCAGGATCCCCCTTCCTCCTGTTGTCCAGACCCCCCTTGTGCCCCCCTCCCCTGCAGCTGCTGGTTTCTCTGCTTTCCCTCCCATTGGCTACTATGGAGACACAGGAGGATAGATTTAGAATGCACCGCAAATGAAGGGGCCGGTAACTATATAATTTACTGGCCCCTTTCTTTTTTGAATGAACACAGTGAGTGATCAGTACGGATCACTCACTGTTTCATTCATAACTGCAGCACAGTAAACTGCTTCTTGTTCATTCATCTGCAGTGCATCTGGGGGGCCCTATCAGGTAGGCTGTATAAGGCCCCGTGATTTCTAACAGCAGCCATGCACACAGCTGCAGGCAGAGTGTGGTTCAGCAAAATTATACAACAGGTTGTGTTTGGTGGAGGTACCCAGCAAAAGTGAATAGGACCAGGCCGCAACCGTAAAACAAATGCGGGACTATTGGTTGCAGAGTGGTATTCCCATTCAAAAGTCCTGTTCAGCTGCTCTCCAGTCCTCTGAAAAGCGAGCCTCCATGCTTCCTGCTATCATTATAAATGAGACAGATTACATAGTAACACCAATTTAGTGTGGACCTTCTATGCAAAATGTAAGGTCTGCTTCAAAATCAGCCCTTCCCCCAGGATGAAAAATGTGAGAAGGATAAAGAACACCTCCGGTTCAGCTTCTGACCCTTCAGGGAGGAGCGGATGACGTCATAGTGTCAAACTGGAGAGGCAGCAAGGGAGAATGTCACCAGCACAACGAGGATCACCAATATGGGTCCACATGCCTGATGAAGGGGTCCTGTGAGACTCTGAAACGTTGCCTTGCTGTAACTATGTTATCGTTCATTAAAACGTTTGGACCCATATTGGTGATTCTCGGTGTGCTGGTGACATCCTCCCTTGCTGATTCTGTTCGGTTCCAGCCGACGGTCGCTGCAGCACCCACTTATACACACAGCCATTTTTAATGCAGAAACATGCGTTTGGATTGTACACGCAACTGGAGAGGCAGACACTCGAAATCCCAGAAGAATGACCCCGTCCTTTGCAGGAGTGCATCCATGCAGGATTCCATGTAACCAGCAGACAATGCCCAGTACAGGGAGCCAAGACCGAGGGAGTTGTCATGTTTTTGTCACATTTATTACCTCATTTTGTTTGCAGGGGTGCATATTTTACTATTGGCAGTCCTCTCCTCACACTGACAGCTCATGAGGAGAGGAGAGCTGGAAAGCGGCATTCCTCAGAGGGAACATCTAAAGTGATCATCAGGGCACTGATGATCAGTGTAGCCCCATCAGAGCCACCTGTCAGTGCCCATCAATGCCACTTGTCAGTGCTCATCAATGCCACATACCAATGCCCATCACTGCACATCAATGTTACATATCAGTGCCTACCAGTGCACATCAATGCCACACATCAGTGTCCATCAGAGCTGCCTTTCAGTGCCACCTATCAGTGCCGCCAGTCAGTGCCACCTATCAGTGCCCATTAGTGGTGCCTATCAGTGCCACCTATCAGTGCCATATATGAGTGCCGCCTTTCAGTGCTGTTCAGTGATGCCTGTCAATGCCCATCAGTGCCACCTACCAGTGCAGCCTATCAGTGCCCATCACTGCAGCCTCACTAGTGCACATCAGTGAAGGAGAAAAATTACTTATTTACAAAATTTTATAACAGAAACTAAGAAAAAACTTTTTTTTTTTTTCAAAATTTTCAGTCTTTAGTTTGTTTAGCAATAAACAAAAACCCCAGTGGTGATTAAATACCACCAAAAGAAAGTTCTACCTGTCTCAAAAAAAAAAGAAAACAATTTTGTTTGGGTACAGTGTTGCAAGTCCGTGCAATTGTCATTCAAAGTGCAACAGCGCTGAAAGCCGAAAATTGACCTGGGCAGGAAGGGGGTAAAAGTGGTAGTAAAGTCTTTATCCCAAGCTTGACTTTGGGCACTGCATTCTCCCCACACCACTCCTTCCAGTCGGCCCCTTCTAAAAGCCCCCCAAGAAGTAATTTGTACTGTATTTTCTTCTTATTTTAGCTTTTTCTGATGTCTTCAGGACAGTTACTTATATGATGCCATTAAGGGTCCTCTTCACTTCTTCTTCAGGCTTTTTTCTACTAAAAAGCCTTTTATTTACAGAGCTCATTAGCTCAAGCTGAAGTTTATACACACGTGAAGAAGAGACTGAAAGGAGTCTGAAAAGTTTCCAGAAAGAGATAACGACTGCTGTGCTCTTTAGATAACCCTCAATGCTCTGGGATTCATGTATCATTTATTAAATACTTCATTTTAAAACATAGACTGGATATAATAAGTGAATAAAATAAAACTAACCAGAACCAATATCATTTCCCTTTAAGAGGATAGTCCCCAGAGCACTGCGATCTGTTGTAAAAGTAACTTTTACCTTGTATGTTTCAGTCTATGAAATATTTAATGCTATTTTGCTGGCTCTATCCTGAATTAATATGGCTGCCATCAACACATATAAAATAGTAATTGCAGTGGCTGGCTTAGAAGAGAAACAAAAGGTCGTCATGTTTAATGAATAGCGCTGAGATATGAGACGCTCTGCAGCAAAGTATTATTATTTATTAATCAGTTACCAATATTTGCTTCAGTCCTGTACACTGGAATGTCATGTGTACCTGGAAACCTGTGCCCCCCCCCCCCGTGTTTTTTTTTCAGGCTACATCAACAACCAACACTGCCAAATGCAGATCTGCAATAGCCTCATACACCAACACGTCCTTCACTGTCATCGCTTAAAAATGCACCCTGGACCAATAATTGCTGATTAGAACTTTATTGATAATACGTTTATCACATAAATGAAAACATAAAACTGTTAATTTGCAAATCCTTATCTGTTCAGGAATACCCTCTGTGCAGTAATACAGAAGAGAAGGTGCTGGGCAGGGGCGGACTGACCATTTAGAAAACTTGGGCACTGCCCGAGGGCCCGGGGTCAGTAGGGTCCCCATGAGATGCCCCTGGTACCTTTTTCATAGGCTTTTTTGAGTTTGAGCAAGGACACAGGGGCCCCAGGATCCCAGGATCCCCTATTGCCCGTGGGCCCCATGAGTTGTCAGTCCGCCCCTGGTGCTGGGGTAAAGTTCAAACCCAGCAAAACTTTGGAACTACTATAGTCACAGTTGTGATCTTCTGGGTCCTGTGCCAAGTGGCTTCCCCTCTACACACTCACCGTAGGGGGGGACTCTCTCAGCACTGCCTTCATTCACAAAATGCCTTGCATTTTTCTAATGAATACAAGGCATTTGGGAATAAAACAATAAAAAAAAATAATAAATAAAATTATTACATAGATGTCTAAAAAAATAGGATCCACAGGTTAAATAAGCCATTTAAAAAAACACACATATCTTATACGGTGCAAAAAAAAAAAAACCCCTTAGTCTAACAGCCATCAATGAAGAAACAAAAAATAGAAGTGTGTCCGACTCTGGAAAGATACATATTGGAAATGCTGTACTGTACTATGAAAAACAATGTTGCAGCCTCACTGAGGTTAGCCCAAAGAGATCCATAATGAAGAAATACTTAGAAAAAGCATGTGCAACCTCAGGGAGCAGAAGGATGCTATCATTTGGATAAATCATGAGATCTACTTGAATACAAATGCATCCGCAAAGCAGTTTCTAAAACAGTGATTTGGAACATGGAATATGCATCCCTACAGGTAAAATAAGAAACTTGAATGGACTCACGTGAATGTGTCAAGAAATACAAAGATATATGCAGTAAAGCTCCATTCACACTTGTGCGACTTGTCATGTGACTTTGGGCATCAAAGTCGCATGACAATTCACAGCCTATTCTTTTTAATGGCACCCGTTAAAAAAAAAAAAAAAAAAAAAAAATCGGTGCAACTTAGAATCGCAGCAACTTTGAAAAGGTGCTACTTTTATGCAAATTTGATCCAGAAAGTGTAAAGCTGGATCAAAGTAGCACTCAAAGTCGTGCTGGAAATTGTGCGACTTTAGAGTCACGCAAATGTGAATGGAGTCAAACTGAATGGGCATGGATGTCAAAAAACTGACCTCTGTCCCATTCAGCTCATATTCAGAAGGGAATCTACTCACAGATTCACCATTGAGCAAAGTGGACTCTGCTGCGTCAAAGGAGTCTAAGTGTTTTGTAGCACCATACTGTATAAGAGATGTTTTTAAATAGCTTTTTAACCATGGACCCTATTTTTAGACAACTGTGAAATAATGCTGAACTGTATTTTTTTTATTATTATTTTTGGATTGTTTTATCTTATGAGTATTCATTTCAGTTATATGTACAATGGTATGTACAGACCATTCCCAAATGAACTCGCTACACATCACTCTTGGCAGTTGTGAGCAAAGGTAACGACACTCACAATAAAGTAACAATAATTGTTAGCAGGCCTGCTTTCAGAAATAATCCAGTGCCTCCAATCTAAGGGGACTGCTGAATCCCCAGTGAGCAGGAACAACTATCAAGAAACAGGTAAGTTCACTATAGGTCCTCAGAACTAGATGACAAGGATTAGATGTGAAGTAAAAAGAATTCTCAATTAAAGTTGAGCAATGTCCCTTTAAGAGCACTATAGTGTCTTCTGCATGCTTGTTGGGGCCCAGTTGATATAAAGTTGAGTTGAGGTGTGGAACATAGTTCCTTAGGATGGTAACACAAAGATAGTGAGGGAGGGAGATTTAAGAGGGAGATTTAACACGTTTCCTTTTAATCCCCTTTAAAGCACTAAACATAGGGCAGGATGATAATGAATATCAAAAATTGGCTTAGGTGTCTATGAACAGAGACAACTCCCTCTGAATATCAAGGGCAAAATGAACAGTTGTAGGAATCCTGCTTTGTTGAAAAAGGAAACTTGTTTCAGTTGGCACTGCTGTCGCACACCTTCTCCTTCAGTCTCTCCCAGCACTCTCCTGGCAAATCTCCCGATCTTTGATATTTATATACCCCCGCCTACACACTACCCTTCTTGGGAAATGTAGTTCCTGACTGCCCTGCTCACCAGCTGAGTCCTGCTATACAGCATACAAGTTCCAGAGGGCTGTTCTGTCCATTTGAGTGGCAGACCACCACCATCTAATGTCCATTTTAATGCGCTGCCAGTAATTACATTTCAGTGGGTTACATTTCTCATTTTTATGTTACCCATGAGCTTTTATGTTGTCAGACATACAGTATGAGTATACCAGTCACATCTACAATTATATTATATTATGTTTTGTTGTAGCCATGATGAAGGAGGAGTGTTCGCAGGCCTCTGAAACGCATTGGCTATTTTTAAGTGCAAGCCAACAAATTAATTTGGACTCTTATCATTTGGTCTGGTGCTCCTTCAATTGGGGCATGTTTTTTCAGGTTGTCATCGCTGTCTGTGTCATTGCTGGAGACATTCACCTTATCTGACCGGCAGACCATTATCAGTGGGACAGAAAGTGACTAAAAATGCATAAATTTACAGTTGTCTCCAGAACATGAAGTGTGGGCAGATTTTCCAATGGGGACATTGGGGACCACTTGTTGTGGTGACAATTTAGATGGGATTTACCCTCACTTTGCAGATTTATATGATAGCAATAATGTTAAGTAAAAAAAATTAAAAGGTACACCAAATAAATAAAAAATAATTTTTAACTGCATATACATGCACATATGAAGGTAAGCGCAAGCATTGAGTGCATCTACATGCAAAAGAAATGACAATTGTGGTACACATATAGAGTCTCACTCTGCACACCATGGTAAGAGCAATAATTTTAGAGCTACAGTTGCAAGAAAAAGTATGTGAACCTCTTGGGATTACGTGGAGTTTTGCATGAATTGGGCATAAAATGTGCTCTGAACGTCATCTAAGTCACAACAATAGAAGAACACAGTCTGCTGAACATAATACTACACAAACATTAGATGTTGCCATGGTTTAATTGCACATAACATGTAAACATTCACAGTGCAGGGAGGAAAAAGTATGTGAGGCCCTAGCTTAATGACTTCTTTTTCTTTTTCTTGCAACTGTATATACTAATTACAAATTGATGACCTGCACAGTTTTTTTTTAAAGCATCACCTTTTAGGTAACTATATTTGTTGCCATTTCAGGGGTGTGTGCAATTTTAAGGTTTGACACGTTTGAGATCTATTTACTCAACACAGCCTCATCTTTTATATTGTACCATAAAAAAGGTAATATATTGTGTTTCTGTGCACAAAAAATTATGTTTGGTTTATTTTTGACTGAAAACATGGGTTTGATAAACCATCACACAAATATCGAGTGACATAAAAAACGACCACTATTTCATCCTCCACGGTCTCTGCTTTCAGAAAATATATAATGTTTTGAGGTTTAACTACTCTTCTGTGTAAAAAAAAAAAGAAGCAAAAAAAAAAAAAAAAACAGTCCAAGCAACAAATGGGTTAAACAATAAAATAACTGGTTTGACTGTGCCCATGTGTATGTCGTCTACAGCCATTTTCATTTGGTTAATCCTGTTAATTACTTACCAGGAAGTTATAGTGCGTTGTTTTGAAAAATTCCATAATGAGTTACATTTAAACCTGCAGATAGGCACCACTTCTAACTACTTCCATTAATGCAAAGAAAATCTTCACAGCCGTGAGCTTCAGCGCACTCACTTGTTTTACAGAGTGATAAATTACTGTGGCTGAGAGGAGAATGACAATTCTAATCACTTTTCCTAATGTCAGATGCAAAGACAGTGTAATCGTGAAGGGACATT